ACGCACCACGTGGCTAGCCCGCTTGGCCGACACGTGTCCGGGCCACACCAGCCCAACCCGACCCATTACCCGGCCCGCTAGGCCCAGTCAACGTTGACCGTTAGCTGGTCAATGATGACTGTTAACCTAACCCCACCTATCAGCGACTGCGCCACCCTGTCGAATTAGAAAGCGCCACATGTCAAGCCCGGGATTAATCTGTCTCTTTTTCTTTTCAGAAATTGATTTAAATTTAGAAAATTCATAGGAAATCCATCCGACCTCAGAAAAATATGAAACTAGTGTCCAATTTTTTCTAAAATTAAGCTCTACATCTTAGGATTGTGTTTTAGTGCATTTAGATCTTTTGAATTTCTATTGCTTCTTTGTGATCATCTATAGGAATCGCTTATCGTGGCTATATCTCTCGTTTGGCAAACCCGGAGGAGCAGCAGACTAAGGAGGACTATGACTACACCGATGAGCTTGGAGATGACCTGACTGTAGGTGCCACGTCCCACCCAACCTCATAGAATCCTATTAGACATGCAATAATGTAGTTGCTAGTGCTTTATTTTATGCAAATGATCTGTGATAGGTTGCATGGTAGACTTGCTTGAAGCCTTTACCTTGATGCAACCTTTACCCGTACACACCCACTGTTAGGATAGACGCTCGCTTATTACTCGCTACTTGTTTCTACTACGCATTATATCTGTGATGTGATGCTTGGTGGGAATTGTTTGTGAGTGGCTATGGCATGGGATGCCGATTTGGTGGTAATAACTTAGGGAGATCTTGGCGTGTGTCTTGGGTGTGTGGTGAGGGTTGAGTCGACCAGACAAGATTCTACGACGAGTCTTTGGACAAGTCTTGCCGGGGGGTGCATCTTAGGCATCCCCTATGTGAGGTACCTATGGCGGGTACATGTGAGAGGAGTATGTCCTGAGGAGGCGACTCTCCATGGGGCAAGTCCCCGAGATGGAGGTGCTATTGAAGCACATGGTGTTGGTTATCCCCATTTGAGACGATGTCTTGTATGGTCCCCCTAAGGACTAGTATATCGAGAGAACCAGATCTTAGGACCCTTCGTACACACCACTCATCCCTAAATGGGTAGGGGACGGATGTTGACCTACTAGGGTGGTGCCACTACTATTAGGTTGTTAGCAGACAGTGTAGGGAGGTATGAGCATATGGCTCACACCCTCCTAAGATAGCATAGTGACCTCTGGTGGCCTGGTACTATGTCTCACAGTCTCAGCGTGCCAGTGGAACTCCAGGGTGGCCCAGGGCTGAGTGGTAGGGTGGTATCGCACTAGTTTGGAAGACAGCTCGGTATCAGCCTAGACAGGGGTCTCCATCGATGATGGTGATCTTGTGGATTTCTAGGTGTACATGCTCTATAGAGTTGATCGATCTATACGTATAGCCATGTCCACGGATATGGACATTCCTATGACCTACGCTTCCCTTTATTAGAGAGTGGAGTCCTTTCTTCTCTTCCTCCTAGGTTGATATTGGTTTTTGGCGTTGGTCGTTGAGGCAAGGCACGAGAGGGAGTTGTCCTTGCCACCTAGAGAGTGAGAGTGTGGTGAGATGTGTGTGATGGGATGGGTGGATGAGTGTGTATGAGATGGGTTTAAAACTTGATGAATTATTATAAAACTTGATTATACTTGTATAGGAAAAACCACAGCCATAATTAGGTCTTTTGCTCTACCCTTGCATTCCACTACCACAAAGCAAACGCAAAGCATAGGGTTGGAGCCAGTGGCCAGTACAAATCATACTGATAATTGTTTGGTAGGTCCCGAGTCTGAGTACGACTTCTAGGGAGATGATTGGGAGGATTAGAGATCTTGTTCTTCGCTCGAGTTTGGTTCCTGAAGATGGAGTCGACGTCCGCTGCCGTTCAACCTAATGATGTTCCAGATGCTTGTGCTCTGTGTGATTCCATCATGTGACAATGTAATAATGAGTAAACCTTGCTATTTATACTCTCTGTAAGACAGGTATTCGATATATGACTATGATATCGACAGTTATTCGATAAATGTGATGGAATGACCATCTAGGACTATCACGTTATGGTTCGACTCTGTGGATTTCCCTTCGTGGAAATCAGGATCGTTTCAGTTGCTGACAAGCAACCAGACCTTGGGAAAAATCTTTGTTATCTCTTGTCCCGTTGGTTTGCATACTACACTTGTGCTTTACATTTGAGCTTTGCTTGTGTAGTTGTTGCTTAGTCATGTAGATCTCTAGTAGTATTTGTAGTTTTAGTGGAGTAGAGTAGCTAGTTTAGTTGCTTTACTAGTTTAGCCCAACTAGAGTAGTTGCTAGCCTTGTGTGGTTGGGTGCTCTAGTAGTAGTGCTAGTCTTGCTAGTAGATTTGTTTAGGAGGCTTGCTTTGGTCAATGGCGCTCTAGGGTTCTGACAATGCACGCTCTCTCTCATGCCAACCTATCACTATGTCATTAGGACTATGACAACAACTGAAAGCCCTAGTTTGGTTTTGGATAATTGATAAAACCTAAGTGTACTAATCATTCCTCTAAGTGTATATGAGATAGGATTGGTACACACCAAGTGATGGAGCAAGAAGTCCATGGTGATGAAGGTGGACATGTGATGATGATCAAGCTCTAAACTTGGAAAAGAAGAAAGAGAAAAACAAAATAGGCTCAAGGCAAAGGTATATTTGATAGGGCCATTTTGTTTTGCCACTTAAGACACCAAGTGGGTGTGAATGGGTTTAGGATAGATAGCCGTAGTATTAAGAGGGGTGATCTCGATGCAAATCCGGTTGTCTAAGTGCCACTAGGTGATTTAACACTTGCATTTGCATTAGGACCTAGTGAGTGCTAACATCCCTTGGAAAACTTGTTTATGAAATGCTAAGTCACGTGCACAAGTGATGAAACTTGGTGGAGTTAACACATTTGCACAAGGGATGTTGTTGGAGAAGAGAAGGAGATCACTAGGTGCGACCGGATGCTGGATCTGGGGTAACCGGATGTGTCCGGTCAGTGACCCAAGGCGTGGCCAGTAGGTCTGGCTCGATCGGACTCTAGACAGGGGGCGCTACCGGACACACCCTTGGTATAGTTCCTCGGCAGGCAACGGCAGCAATGTAGAGACCGGACGCTAGGCGAGTCCGGCCACTATTGACCGGACGCGTCCGGTCGTTAAAAATCGTCTCTGGACGTCTTTGGATCGAGATCGGACGCGCGGGGCTGGTGAGTCCGGTCACTTGATTGGCGAGTCCAGTCAGGTGATGACAAGCGCGCGAGACTAGCCATTGGTGCCCAACGGCTATATCTATTTGAATGGGGCACGTGGCCGCAGGGGGGGTGACCGGATGCACCTGACCGGACGCGTCCGGTGCAGCATAACAGCGTGTCCGGTCAGTGCGTAGAGAAGGGGTTAAATGACCAACTAGTATGTGACTTGTTGGGGCTCTATAAATAGGTGGCCGGCTTGGACTCACTCTCTTGGATACTTTGATCTTTTATACATCTTTGTGAGCTAAGACAAACACCTCCCACTCATCTCCTTCATTGATTCACCATCTTTGTGAGATTAGGAGTGATTCTAGTGCATTTGCTTAGTGTTTGAGCATCTAGTGGCACTAGTGATCGTGTGAGCTGCAGGATTATTTGTTACTCTTGGTGGTTGCCGCCATCTAGACGGCTTGGAGCAGCTCTTGGTGATTGACATGAGTTGGTGATTGTTCGGGGCCATCCCGATTGGATTTGTGAGGGGTTCTTGAACTTTCCCCAGCGGAAAGCCAAAAGGTACTCTAGTGGATTGCTCGTGGCTTGTGGATCCTCATCTTGTGTTGGTTGTGCGGCACTCGGTTGCAGGTTAGGCATGTGATGCCTATGAGCGCGTGAACCTCCAAGTGAGTGAATCGCTACAACAAGGACGTAGCTTGCCGGCAAGCAAGTGAACCTTGGTAAAAATCTTGGTGTCATCTCTTGGTATTCTTGATTATTTGATCATCTATTGTCTCTTGCCACGACGGTATAATCACCTTGCCTCTACCTTGTTTTACATTCATAGTTATCTTGTGTAGAGCTTGTGGTAGTCTTGCTAGTTGAGTAGTGTAGCTTAATTAGTTGTAATTATCTTGTTAGCTTGCTCACTAGTTGTAAAGTAGTGATCTAGCCATTGTATGACACTTAGAGATGATAGCCAATAGCATTGGATTGGTGGCTTGCAACACAATCACTAGAGCTAGTGCAAGTTCGCAATTATAGCCTTGTTGTTTTCTAACATTTTGTTTTAGTGATTTGTAGAAATTTTATTAGGTTACTCACCACCCCTCCAGCTATTTAGGACCTTTCAACACCCCTCCCATGCCTGTCGCTACGTCGTTGGGACTATGACAACAACCCTCCCCTCATATTTATGAGACTGGGTTACAAGACTCTGACTCCAACTCTACCCAATACTGCTAAACTGAACTCAAAGTTCTAACGTAAGAAACTCATACATAATAGAGTTGGAATCATTCACAAATAAGGGTTGCTAACTTGCAAGTTGCAACAGTCAATAACACTTGCATGCTTCAGTGCAATCATTATCCATCAATCATAAAATTTTGGTATTGTGCATTTTAAAATATCCACAGTAAAGTAGTTTAAACAAGCATAGCACAATCTAAATAACAAATTCCAATAGGATTTAAAAATTTAATGCTACAGCTCCACGAAATAACCCAGGACTACCTACTACGTTTTAATTTGTAAATAAATTAATGATAGGAAAACAGAGTTTAAGTCAGCAGTCTAGCAGAGCAGTGTAAAAGTAATCGATGGTAATATGACTCGGATTCTCTTCATTGTAATGCAGTAGGGCAAAAATAACAAAATGAAAGCCCTCTCACTATAACAAATATTATTATTGGCTCACATAGTGATGAATAATAGATGCACATTTGTGAGTTTTCAGTTTATTATGTCCGGTGCATTGTTAGCCAAGAGGCCAGGAAGCATTCGAGAACCCCATATTCCTCAGATCTCGCTGAACGATTTGATAGTGCGGAATCCATGATTCTCAGGAACCGGAGCATTTCCCTGACGGATAGATATTACCACCTCAAAACCTGAAATTCGGTGTTAATTTGATAGTAATGATACAAGACCATATTTCAAAACCACATGAAAAATGCAAGTTTATACCAAACATATGAATTGATGATTGCTTCAGCATTTTGCATATTTCACAGGACCATAACTCCATAAGACCCAAAAACTAGAAGATACCATAACATGATTACATGATTAGCACGGCACAAAGTTAAAAACTAAATATATATTGCAAAAACAGAATAGATCTGAAATGGCCCAAAGGACGTGGGAAGCACATATACACAATTTGATCTGCACAAGTTCAATATTATAGAGTGAAGTACTAATTACCAGCGTCTTTTGCAGCAATGGCTTCTTGGAAGACATCAGTTATGAATAAGATTTGAGATGGATTATCGACCCCAAGTGATTGAGAGATCTCAAAATAGCTCCTAGTTTCTCTTTTGTTCCTGTACGTACAAGTTTATAAATCAAAAATTTTGTGTCAACATTTTGATTGTAAAGAAGAATGGAACAACGAACGCATTGCTAAATAACTACCTGAATCTGTTTTATTTCTGTTTATGAAAGAGAATGAAATCATTTTTTTTCTTTTATGTTGACTCATAGGCAAATGGAAGGAACAAAAATCAGAGCTTACCCGATAGTGGTGTCAAAATATCCACAAAGGAACTTTCGTAGGTCACCATACATTGTGTTGCCAAATAGAAGCTTTTGTGCCTCTCTACTGCCACTTGAGTATATGTAAACCTATTGACAGTATATATGATTTAGCTCCATGCGAAAATGTGCTAGCTGTGCTAGACCCTTGCCCCTGCTCTAATCCAAGAAAATGCGATTACATACTCTACAAATTTGGGAATGTGAATTGTAATGTCGCAGTTCTGGATCTTTACTGCAGAAGTGCGCATTTTTTTTCAACTGAGTGACTAAACAGTTTGGCAATTTATAATGTTACAATCTCAAGGTTCTCATTAACAAAGTCGCTACAAAAAAAATAGCAATGCCTGAATTGGACTTATGCAATTCACATGTGTGTGTGAGCAAAATGATACCTTTATGTTACTAGAATGCCAGTTCTTTAGTGCATCGGGAACATCCTCAAAGAGTACTCCTTGTATTTCCTTCTTTTCAAATCCAGTCCTCCATATATGACCCTTAATATAAAGAATTAGAGCTGTTGAAATATAACAAAATTGGAAAATAAGCAAAGAATGTGAACTGTAAACTAGGTACCTGAAGTTGTTTCAGTGATGTAATCTTTCGGTCTGCTTTAATCATCGATTCAACATTAGAGACCAACGAATCGATAACCTCTTCTTTGCCAGCCTCATCAGGTGGAACTGGCACAGCCCCAAGAATTCTGTTTCTTAAATCATCTTCAATCTGAATAGTTGGTCACTGTTGGTTAGAATATGAATAAAACAAAATAATTTGTGCAAACTATCAGTTTCAAATAAAAATTGTTTCTGCTGGCACTTATACAGCACAAACCTATAGTGTTCTTTGTTAATCACTACTTACCTGTAGGCGCAATAGTTTGATGTCTTCTTTGGTTTCTTCAGAATCAAATGTAGAAGTTAGATGTTTTCGTACATTATCACGGGCATAAGGGAACATAACATCAGTCACGAATGATATTGGAGTGGTTGTGCCCTCAATGTCAAGTACAACACACTGCTACAGCAAAAAAGAAGGGTCGAGTTGAAGAGAAGAGACATGAAAAAAAAAGAACTTCCGCAAAATGTTAAGGAAACAGTATGAACAATACAACTTTCAGAAGATTACATGGGCAACAAACACAAGTATGACACACGGTGTTCTCAAAATTTTTAGAAACAATGAACTGAACTAACCACGGGTGATTCAGCAGCATGACTTCCATTAGAAATTCCAGGGCTCAAAGTTTTGTGTGGTCTCTTTGCTATTGGACCATGTTCAGGAGTTGTCCAATCAATACCTAATTGATAGAGCTTGATGGCGGCATCTAAAAGATAATGATAACTTTCAGCCTGAAACGTGAGACCATAGCATGAAGTAAAAATCTAAAGCAGTGGATGTTCATAAGAAATAAAGAAAGTTGTGGTGAGTGTTCATCGGAGAAATGGTAGTCGGCAGTCAACACCTGGAGCATTTGAAAACTCAGACAGAAAACATACCTGTGTCTTGGCACTGATCCAGGAGTCACCCCACACAAATATTCCATGGTTTCGCACAAGGACAGCCGTTGCCTTTGGGTATGCTGCAATCTGTTAAATAGTTTTGCGTCAATTGCCTACATATAAACTCTATATCTGTAAAAGAGTGTTGCCGGAAACAAATAAGATGGCAATTCGTTTCTGAAGATGGGTAAACTGTCATGATTCTTGCAATTAGAAGTTAGCAACAATGAACAATTAGTCAGTCATGTTTTAACATTTATTACTACAATAGATTATATGTCATAGTACTTCACTAAAAGAGCATGAATATGCCTTTAATCCCTAAGTTCCTATTTTTGGTAATTCAAATCCTTATACCTAATCCCAGTTAGCTCATGACCTTTGAGAACTGAAAACTCCAAAATGACAAGATTGTCTTTGAACCTGCACATAGTATCTCTAGAAAGGGATGGAGATGATTTAGAAAAAGATATTGACAACATACCGCCTCACTTAAGGAGTCAGTGAGCTCATACTCATAAGGAGTGTTCTCGATGATAGGAATAACCAATTCATCATGGTAGCCATGACCTTTGATTGCTTTAATCATTTCCATATGGGTCATCTGCATTAAACTCAGCATAGTAATATAATAAAGGTTTTCTGTACAAAAATGACTTTAGTAGGTAATACAACATTAAAATGTGATCAGCATGTAACAGAATCTTCTACAAATTCTAGTTTGGATATTGTTTGTGTTTCGAGTAAACACCAACTTGTAAATTTGTATTTGTTGCGCGTTGGGCCCGGATGGTGTGCTAAAAGACACAACGTTTATACTGATTCGGGCAGAATGTCCCTACGTCCAGTTTGCGGCTGCTGCTCGTGTTATTAGCACTGAAAGGTTCGTAGTAGGGGGTACAAACGGTCGAGAGAGGGACAGGTCCCGAGTCTCTGATGGAAAGGTGGAAAGGGCACTGAGAGCTTGGTTGCTACTCAGCTGTGTGTTAAGTGATGCGTGGTGTGTTCAATGGATCCCTTTAGTGGGGTGCCCTGCCCTCCCTTTTATAGATAAGGGGGAGCAGGGATTAGAGATGGGAGAAAGAAGAAAAAAACCAGAGGCAAAGAAGGTCCTTCGAAGGTGCCGAGTGTTCCTTTTCCTTTGAGCCTGCCCTACTGACACGGCAGACGGTGCCATAGATAGCACGTTCGCTGATCCTGATAGGGCCGTGCTCTGGCTTCGTTCAGCAAGTGGTCACGTCCCATCCCGCTTCGGCGGGCGGCGCGACGCACCAGGGTGCCGAGCCGCGACCCTACGGGGAGCAGATGGCGTAGAGACCCCACGTTTGTTACTGTAGATGACATGAGTTTCCTCCTGGACCGTAGTGGTTGTCGTATGTTTCCGTCAGGATTCGTGTCCGAGGGCAAATGCCGGCGCCCATAACACTGTAGGACAAATGTTGGCGCCCACAACACTGTTTAGGCTCTGACATGCCTGGAAGGGCTTAAAGCGCCCGTCTGGTCATATCCTGATGGTACTTTCCTGCAGGTGTGCAGGGTATGGTCCTCGGTATTGCGGTTGACTTGAGTACCCCGTCTTATCTGCGTGCGTAGTCATAAAGGAGCAGCGTACAGACGTCGGGCGAGGCGGAGCCTGCCCCTGGACGTCGGGCGAGGCGAAGCCTGCCCCCGGACGTCGGGTGAGGCGGAGCCAGCCCTCAGGGGTCGAACGAGGTGGAGTTAACCCTCGGTCGTTGGGCAAGAGGTGTAGTCGCGTTCTTGTTTGTTCAGGACCATCTACGTTTGATGGTTATTAGCTCCTCCTCTTTGGGTACCCCAGTATTTGGTCCCCAACAGTAGCCCCCGAGCCCCCGGGTGATTCGGATAGAATCGCCCGGGGGGTGATTTGACTCACCAGAGGGTGCGTGCGAGCGCACCCGACGAGTGTAGCCCCCGAGCCCCCGGGTGATTCGGATAGAATCGCCCGGGGGTGATTCGACTTGCTAGAGGGTGCGCGCAAGCGCACCCATCGGGTGTAGCCGCCGAGCCCCTAGGTGATTCGGATAGAATCGCCTAGGGGTGATTCGGACCCTTCGCGGGTATGGCTGTGAGATTTGGCGGTTTTGTTATCCGGATAATTCAATTGGGATCCTGACATCCCGTTCGTGGGGATCCGGTCAGAGTCAGCCTGGCTGAGACTCAATCGTGGACCGAGACTCTCATGAAGCTTGTGCGCCTGAGTTTTTGCCAATCATGGGCCCATCCTTTTGTCATAAGGGTGCCTTGGGACAGCCATCGAAACTGTTGATGGGCCAGTCCTAAAACTCCTAGGCCTAGCCATGCTGGAGGAACACTTCTTGACTCGTATCCTTTTGCTGGTAAAGAGGCCTGGTCTGCCCGGGAAGGCGAAACATCCGGCGCGACTTTGGAGGGAAATGATAGGGATTGGGGGCGCATATCCCGCGTGGTGACGTGGTGGCGAATCATGGCAGGCGCGGAGATCCAGGCGGACGGTTGCCTTCCTTGCATCCGTCGCCCCTATAAAACCAAAGGGTTCGCCCCCAGGGTTTCGTACATTGCCTCCTTGCCTTTGCATCTACAACCTCCACCACCAATCGCCTAAGACTTCCGTATCCGCATCTCAGCCGCCGTCAAGTTCGCATCCACCCTCCCCAATCGTTCAATGGAGCCATGGTGCAGATTCGATATCACTCTTCAGTGCCTGGAGGGCCTCGTTCACCACGGCCTTCTCTACGCGTGGACCGCCACCAAGGAGTGGCGGCTACCCAGCAATGAGGACGCGCTGTTGCCACCCAAAGGCTACGTCGTGTCCTTTGCTCACTTCCACGAGCGAGGATTCGCCACCGCCGCCCACAAGTTCCTTCAGGGGTTGCTACATTACTACAAGGTGGAGCTGCAACACCTTAATCCCAATAGGATCCAGCACATTGCGGTGTTCATCGCCCTGTGTGAGGGGTTCCTAGGGATTAGTCCCCACTTCGACCTATGGTGGTATTTCTTCACCGTCACCCTCCTAAAGAAACGGGAGAAGAGGCAAGAGCTGAACATGCCGATGGGATGCGCCGTCATCCAGCTCCACAACAACCGGGTCAACGAGTACCCGCCGATGCGTTTGTCGACCACCAATAAGGGGTAGCATTCGCATTGGTTCTACGTCAGGAATGACGTAGCCGCCCCCTTGTCGGAGTTCATCGGGCGCCTCATCGAGGAGGTCCTGGAGTCTTGGAGGAAGTGGGGAGTCCTAGAGAAGGATAAGAAGAGAATCTAGGACCATCTCACCGCCATCCGGATCCTGAAGGAGAGGGGCATGAAGGGGTCAGGGATCATCGGCGCCTACCACATGCGGAGAGTGGCGCCGCTGATGAGGCACGTGCTTCCCCTGCACATGATGGTGCCCGGGGTGGCGCTCGACGGGACGGCGGTCGCCGAGGAAGCGCTCTCACCTTCTGAAGTGGCGCAGCGCATCAAGGAGGCAATGGAGGCTCCACGGGATGATGCCGGTGCCATCCTTGACTTTGTATATCCGATGTCAGGGCATCCCCCAATGCGACCAGAACCAGGGTACATTGCCTTCATAAGTTTTCCTTCCATGTGCCTCTCTTTTTAATTGAACTCCCGACCCCTTGATGCTGATGTCGAGATAGGGGAACCAGCCGAAGAAACTCACCCTTATGGATCACCCGGCTCTGTTGCTGAAGGACCTGTTGGTGACGACGGCCAGCCACACCACGGTCGAGTGGCAGAGGAAGACAAAGGAGGTCGAGAGGAAGAAGAAGCAGCAGAAGCTGCAGGCACAGGAGCGAGGAGAGGAGACTGACAGCGATGATGACGACAAGGAAGAAGATGATGTGGTAGTTGATGACACTGAGCATGATGGTCAGGAGAGTGAGGGTACGCTGACAGGTACCCACTCATCCTTACAGGGGCCTTTCCCGTTCCACGTGGGGGAAAGCGCGCCTGTAGGGCCGGCGGAGACAGACCGAACCATCGGCCTACCCCAAGAGACAGCAGGAGCGGGTGGGTCTGCCACCGTGCCCGAGGTGCTAGTGGAGGGGAGTGGCCCCACCGCCGCGCCTCAAGAGGCAGCAGGGGTGGGTGGATCTGCCACCGTGCCCGAGGTGCTGGTGGAGAGGGGCGGCTCCGCTGCTGCGCCCCAAGATCCAATAGGGGCGGGCGAACCCGCCGCCACGTCCGAGGTGCTGACGGAGAGGGGTGGCCCCACCACCGCAGTCCTAGCGGTAAGGGGGGCGAGCCCCACTACCTGAGAGCAGGGGGCAGGCTCAAAATTGCCCTGCCCCGAGGAGGTGGAGCAAGGGCCTGGGGGTTCGTCGCCCAAGCGTATCCTCCGCCTGACAGCACCGATGTAAGTCCTTGACTCCTTTGTTTTTCTCTATTTTTCTCTGTTTCAGCGTGACTCACGCCTTTTGTTTCTTGCAGCATCCTGAGACGGGGTACTTCTTTGGCGCTGGCGCCTAAGAAGAGCCTTGCCATTCAGGCGAGACGGTGGCCGTCGCCCGATCTCACTCTCGTCGCGGGTGGAAGTGGAGTCGACGTTACAGCCTCGTCGGCTAGTCAGGCGCCGCCCGCGGTGGTGCCTGCGCCCTCGGTGGGTCAAGCGGACGTCGGGGCTATAGGGGCGCCCTCGGCGGTCGCCGAGCAACCGGCGATGGAGGTGATCCAGCTGCCGACATCGGAGTGGATGGGGCTACTGCTCGCTCTTATGGCACCGGCTGTGGTGGGCGCGACGTCGCTGGTCGAGGCCCCATCGACGTAGCCGCGGTGGTGCCCGAGGAAGCGACGTGATCCGTGCCATCAGTGGCCCCGGTGACGGCGCCTGACGTGGGCCGGACGGAGGGGGTCATGGCCGAGGGATCCTCGGACACCACGGTGGTTGCCGAGGGGATCGGTGGCCCCGTGAGGGATGAGCCCCTGCTCCGGTGGGTGAGTCCACAGGACCCGTCATCGGAACTCTTCACCCTCAATGATGCCGCTGAGGTCATGGAGCGGGAGAGTCTCAATGAGGGGATCACGGCCGCACTGGAAGCTCTGAACCAGGCCAGGGGCGCCCTGCGCGACATCATCATTCCCACCGATCGGGTATTTACTTAATCTTGCCTCCCGCCCTCTTCTTTCTTCATCTATTTTTGTGTTCTGACCACCATCTTTTTTTAGTCTCTAATTGCTCGCAGCCGGGAGAAATCCTGGTTCCTTCACGAACATAAGGAGGACTGGGATCGCCTCATCGATGAGGCATGACTGCAGAGGGAAGTGACCACCTAGCTACGACAGAGGGTGGTTGAGTTGACCCCCTCGCCATGGAGGCAGACAATCTTCAATGGTGGGAGACCAAGGCCCGCTGGGACTCGGAGGACGCCGGGAAGTCTTTTGAGGAATTATCCGAAAGGGCGCAACGAGACGGGGAGGAGGCCGCCAGAGTCCGAAAGGAGCGGGACGAGCTGCTCTAGAGGGATGCTGAGGCTCGCCAGTGGGTCCTTGACCTCCTGGCCAAGGCGGAGAAGGAGCGAGAGCACAAGCTGGGAGCTGAGGAAAGGTCCGTGGCCCTGCAGCAAAGGGCAAGCCTGGATGCCGAGGCGATTGCTTGGC